CCCCCCCCCCCCCCCCAAATTAAGGTACCGCCTTGTTTTCGGAAACTCCCAGATCGCATGGGGCCAGATGCTGAGGTGGAGGAGCTGTTGTTCCAAGACAGGATCCTGGGCACCTACATACACACATCCATCCATGCGTGCATCTGCACATGTATATTATTCATATGTACATACACGTACATACATACATACATACATACATACATACATACATACTTACTTACTTACATGCATACGTACATATATACATACATACATACATACATACATACATACATACATACATACATACATACATGCATACATGCGTACGTACATACGTACATGCATACATCAGCATCATGTATGAGCATGTGTGCGCGCAGGGGAGTCTTGGACTAAATGATCAAGCCCGCTTCCGGGCAAATTCGGATCAGTTGATGCTTCATGTAGGGGCCTTAATAATTAGAATAGGTTTTTTCTTGGGGGGGGGGAACCTTAGCATAACTATAGTAGAATATACCCCAAAACCCTATTAAGGCCCCTATATTTCGTCTTAGACACTGAGACTTCAGAGTTCTTCGAGTTCTTCTACAGGGTTTCTTTCACCACAGGCGGTCTGCCCACGCCAGTCTTGGCCTTGGGTTTAGGGTTTAGGGTTTAGGGTTTAGGGTTGAGGGCTGAGGGTTTAGGGTTTAGGGTTTAGGGTTTAGGGTTTAAGGTTTAGGGCTTGGGAGGTCTTTGCTTGGGAGCACCGCGCTTTGGCACACCAGGGACCATGACTCTTACTGCTCTCATGAACCATGACTTGGGTACTGCCCCCATACAGTAACAGTCCATAATAGAGCTACTATTAAGGGCCTAATGTATCCATAATATAAATATTATCCAACTGTTACTGAGTGGGGGGAGTACCCAAACCATGACTATAAAGCTTACCCTGCTACACCCCTAAGCAAGGTGCTCTGACGCGACTAAACCGGGTCTTACTGCTCTGAACCCTAAACCCTAAACCCTAAACCCTAAACCCTAAACCCTAAACCCTGAACCCTAAACCTTAAGCACTAAAGCCCTAAAGCCCCAACTCCCCAAGGCCGACACCCAAACATCCCCCAGCGTCGCAGCCCCATCTGAGTTCGGGCCTTGGAACAAACACCTTTACTTTAGGGTTTAGGGTTTAGGGTTTAGGGTCTAGGGCTGCCTAGACTGCCTTTCGGTGAAACTCCAGGGTCACTTAGGCTTAGGGTTTAGGGCTTTAGGGCTCATTCAGGAGCTGTACTTGCAAAGCCTGAAGCGGTGCATCTTGGAGTCCCTTTAGAGCTTTAGAACACTGATAAAATCTTGTCGAACCCTTCATAGAACGCTTGTAGAATCCTTATGGAACCTTTAAACATGACCTGAACCGCTGAAACCCGGGTTCCGAGACCAACGGGCCAGGGGGCAAACCGTGTCTTTCGCCCGACTCCTGCACTGCAACTGGAGGAGATTAATATAGGAGCCTTAATGATTAGAATAGGGTTTGGGAGTCTTCTATACTATATTATGTACTATATACTATACTATACCATACTATACTATACTACAGTAAGGAACCCACCAAAATAGCATCGGTACTTATTTCGGCCCCTTTCTTAAGTCTTGCTTCAGGATTTTGGGGCTTCGGGCTGCGGGTCTAGACTTCAAGGGCTTAAGGTCCAGAGTGTGTAGTTATAGGTTTAGGCTGTCGGCATAGGGGCGCTATGGGGGCTAAAGCAACGTGCTTCATAAGGATTTCGCAAAGGCTTCTATAGGGTTTCTGCGACGGGCTTTGATTCGGGATTAGCTGCTGCCAGAGTGTCAGGAGCCAAGTCTGTGGAATTTGGGGGCGGGGTTTAGGGTGTGGCGTTTGGGATCACGGGTCCAGCATTTGAGCGGCGCTGTTGACCGGCTGCTCGGGTTAAACTTACGATTGCAAGCATGCGGGGTATTGATATTTGGAAGCGTCATCATCGTCATCATCTCCCAGACCTGAACCCTAAACCCATCATCATCATCATCATCATCATCATCATCGAATAAGCCTCTGTCTTTGTCGTAGCTTCAATCCTGATGACTTCGCAAGGCCCACGGTTGAATAGGAAAGGCCGACACTTTTTCAGGGACGAGGCCAACGTTTCAAGGGCGAGGTCCATGTTTTCGGGTTCAGCATGGAGGGCTTAGAGTTTAGGGCTGCCCATACTTTTGTACACAAGGCCAACATGTCGGGGCGTAGAAACCTTTGCCACCTTTAAGACCTACCTTTAACCCCAAATAACGTACCTCAAGAACTGATATATGAAAATCATACTCAGGAACCCTAGCAAAGGTAGACGTCTTGGGGTCCAGGAAGGATTTAGGAACGGTGGTCCCTACCTCAAGCTTTAATGCACTGGCTAGTGAGTTTGAGGCCTCGGCGGACGACTCGCAGCGGGCAGTGGGGGTCTGTGCAGTAACAGAGTTTCTCACTCATTAGAACAGGGGGGTATACTGACATTGGATTAAACCGCACCCCCCAAACTGCCCAAACCCATACGTTATGTAAACCCATGTCTAAAAACCAAGTTTGAACCCCGAAAACCCTAAACCCAGAGGAGTCTAAACATATGCTTTCTAGAATCCTCATGAAACCTCTAGAATCTACTTATCCAGTCCTTACGAAACCCTAAACCCCCCACGTTTCGGCAATCTCTCTCGGTTTAGGGTTTAGGATTTAGGGCTCCTGAAGCCTTAAATCCTGGCCTAAGCCCCTGCCTCAAACCCTTATAAAACCCTTAATGAGGGGCCTTAATAATTAGAATAAGGTTTTGGGGGTCCTTTATGCTATAAGTAATAATTGCAATAAGGAACCCCCAAATAGTATAGGTAATTAGTCAGACTCCTATATTACGGACCCTTTCCCTGATGAAACCCCCTCATTTCTCCTCTCGCTTCAGGGGAGGTTCCCGAAACCCAAAACCCCGCTAATCTCCTAAACCCTATAATGTAGGGGCCTGAAGAATTAGAATAGGAAATTGTGGAGAAATATACTGTTTTTGAACAGGGAACCACAAAAGAGTATAGGTAACTATTTAAGCCCCTACGTTACCACTAGTCCCAAACCCTCTCCTCTGGCTTCAAGGGTTCGCGAACCGGCTGAAGCAGCTGGGACGACGAGTTCGGCCATCGCACCTCGCAGCTGACCTGGTCCTTGCAGCCTCGGCTGGGTTTAGAGTTTAGGGTTCAGGGGTTTAGGGTTTAGGGTTTAGGGGTTTAGGGTTCAGGGGTTTAGGGTTTAGGGTTTAGGGGTTTAGGGTTTAGGGGTTTAGGGTTTTGGCTTTAGTTTAGGGTTTACGGTTGTTTTGCAATGCTGTCAGTGAAATAGGGATCTAGAATGATCTAGAGGGGTTGTCTAAAGGCTTCGATACTGGCTCTGTACGGTTTCATGAGAATTCCCAAAAAAGGGTAAAGCCTTGGCCCAAAGCCCTCGAAACCCCGCACGTCTTGTCAAAAAGTTGCAAGGCCCTGTATTGCAGACCTGAAGGTTGAGAGTTTGGGGTTTAGGTTTTAGGGTTTAGGTTTTAAGGTTTAGGGTTTAGGTTTTAGGGTTTAGGTTTTTGGGTTTAGGGTTGCCATACCATCTAAATCATGCGCCACCTACGAACCCTCTGCACCATACCCCCTTTTGACCCACACAAGCCTTAAGCTGTGCAAACACTGACACTCCCGTATCCCTAGGCGTAAGCACCCCTAGAACCGTAACAGGTAAACCGGGTTTAATGACCCCTTGGAGTTTTGCCATAATAAAGAATAGAGTTTTGCTTCCATAGTATAATCCAGATGAAACACGACTCCTAAGAACACTAAAGAAGGCAGGAGTAGTTCGAACGCCTAGCCTTCGGAGTTGCCACAGACCGGCTCCATTACACCAGTGTAGGGGCCTTCGCAGCATGGTAGAGCTTCGGGTTTAGGGTTTAGGGCGTTG